TGGGTGGCAAGCCACTCCCACAAAGGAGGCCACACCCACAGAGTAGGTTCGAACAATTTTTGAAACCCACCACTGCTCCCAAGTCACCCTTTTTTTCTCAATTGTTCTTGCCTTTTGGCAGCTCTGCGCATTAGCACACTGGGAACAGGCTCCCACTGTTCTTCTGCCTCACTGATGTCAGGCTCCAGAGGCAGCACATAACTCCCAGATGGCCCTGGCCCCTTCTCTGCCTCCGACGCAGAGCCCTCATCCAAGCCTTCCCCAGCCTCCAGGACTGGCCCAGGTTCCTCCCCAACCTCCTCACTGTCCGACTCTTGCTGCCAGCTCGGCAGGTTGTGCGTGGACTACAAGAGAACCTAGCTGCAGATAAATTGTCCCTCAAAAGTGGGTAAAGAGGGTTTAAGTTTCATTCCTGCAGGTTCAATTTTATTTTATTTTTATTATTCCCTTTCAGGCTGAAAAAGTAGTTTACCCATGCAAATAAAGGAGCCGTTCAAAAACCAATCAAGCCTTTACAGTCAATGCTGAGGAAAAACCTTTACCTTTATTTTCACTTTTTTCTAGAGGATGAGCTATACAAAGGATGTTAAAGCTCTCTTCCCTGTCATTGTAAAACGTCTCCTCAAAGAGAATAGGTATTGAGCAACGCTGGTTAAATTCACCCCCAAGGACGATCATATTTCCTTGTATAAAGACTTCCTAGATAGGGAAAAAGACACGAAGAAAAAGAATAATTCAATACCTAAATAGAGCAGTTAAAAAAAAAATCTACCGTAAGAAACATAAACTGCAGGCTCAGAGTCGCCAACAATATTCCCGAAATAGTATCTATAGATGCCCCAAATTAAATCAAGATTTAAAAATAGCCAACCTCTACGAGGTCATTTGCTCTCATGTGGAGAAATAACTGCTAAAATCTCATTAGACTGTGGTTAAGAAGGTTGAAAATCACTATGGCTATTATCCCTAGTTTGCAATTGTTCAGGCAGCCACTAAATGCAGCAAAAGATACTAAAAATGCAATCTTTTTTTGCTGCCACATTTCAGAATTTTACACCTCAAATATGTTTGCTCTGGAAATGACCCGCCGTGGAAATTACCATCCTCACAGACAAAGGTGTCCAGGTAATGCAGCCTAAGCAGATGAATAAAACCTTTAATTGAATCTTGCCAGTTTATCGCATTTCTCAGAGCATCACAAATGACTTTGTTCACATTTTATCCTACAGGTGAGACTGCAGAAACATTACCCATCCGAGTCTGAAGTGGCTCCCATTATTTCTATCGCCCGTACCTTTCCATTCAAAGTGTGGAGATTGTTGTCCGCTGCTTTAAGAATGTAAGAGTCAAACTGGCAAGCCGAAATGATGCTGCTCGAAAGACTGCCTTTACAAGGTACCAGTATCTAGGGGAAAAAATTACAGGATGTTACGGCATATACGGCTGGATCCCAAATCCATCACAATTTTGCTGACTACAGTATTTGAAATCAAACTATGGCATAGATGGGGAACCTTTTCGGCCCCGAGTGCCTGAACGCCCGCGCGCGCACCGAAGCACTGGAAACCCGAAGACCAGCTGGTTGGTGTGCCTGTGCGCCAATCACCTGGTCCTCCAGTTTCTGGCACACATCAAGACCAGCTGGCATGCCGAAACCCAGAAGAGCAACAGCTGGCGCACCCAAAGAGATGGCTCTGTGTGCCACTTCTGGCACACATCCCATAAGTTCTCCATCACGGGCATAAGGTTTCCTGCTTGAGCAGAGGTTAGGTTAGGTTAGGTTTATTGGACTTATATGCCGCCCTCCTCCCAAAGGACTCAGGGCGGCATACAACATAAAAACACATATTACAAAAGTTAAAAGAAAGATTAAATAGAATATCCAAAAAACCCAATAGACATGTACAATGATATTTAGAAATTAAATTTAAACTAACAATTAAAATTAATAATTAATGTTATTCAGGCCAGGCTGGCTTGCTGGAAAAGCCAACTTTTTAGTGTGCGCCGGAAGGACCA